CAGCCGCGCGCACGGCTCTGATCGGCGCCAACTCGCCCGGTTTAGGCTGGAGAAACCCAGCGCGCACCCCAAAGAGGTATTTTTTTAGAGGGTGGCTACAATGAGTGGGCCCTGGAGATGTGAGACGGGGTAAGTCGGCCGTTTACTTTGCAAAAGAGGCTCGTGTGTGTGTGTGTGTGTGTGTGTGGCGACGGGGTGGCTTTTTTTCTCCCTCTCCTCCCTCCCCTCCTTCCTCCCCTTCTCCTTCCTCCCCTTCTCCTTCCTTAGCTTTGGGGCGGGGTGGGGGAGGGGGAGCCTCGCGTCTTGGAACTCCGGGTGCCTCTGCCTGGGCCGCTGTGGGAACAGCTGTGCCCTGATCGGCGGGGCCGGCCTGGGTGCTGGGCTCCAGCCCGCGCGGCTCCGAGCTGCTTCAGGGGGATGCGGAGGGCGGTGATCCGCGGTCTAAATTCTTGGGGGGAAAGCAAACACAGCCCCCACCTCCCAAATTTAAAAAAAAAAAATCTGATCAGCTGAGAATGTGCAGCGCACCCATGAATTTACATCGAAGGTGCGTTTCCGTGTCAGAATGTCAGCCTTCCCCGCTCATGCAACTTTTATTTTCTCAAATTGTCGGGCTCCTTGGCTGGCGAGCAGGAGGAGGAAGGGAGCGGGGTGAGAGGAAGCTCTGCGACCCTGGCTAACCAGAACTGAATTAAAGTTGCGGACGCTCGAGTTTCCTACCGGCTGGACACAATTTGCCATGGGCTGTCGGAAGGGGTGGGAGGGGAATGGGGGCGGGAAAGCACCGGGAGGGAGTGGGAGGGAGGGGGAGGGGACGCAGCCGGGCTGAATGGATGTGCAGATTTGATCCAGCGGAGAACCGAAATTTCAAGGTAAACATTTTGCTTTCCTGGTGGGTGTGTTTTTCCGCTTTGAAGCCAGGACGTGTTCGCCGCGGCGTTGGGAGGTCGGGGGTACTTGCGAGTATCTCTGCCCTGTGATTCCGGTTCTTCCCTGCACGTCTGGGTGGCCGCCCGCGAATGATTCGCAGGCGCCCTCGCACATGTGCGTGTGAATGCGGGGGCTCCTGATAACATGGGCTGGATCCGGCTCGGGGATCCAAACCGAGGTCTCAGTGCTTGAACCCATGACTCCGAAATGTCTTGGCTCTAGTTTTGGGTTGCGATTCGACACCCGACTTGGGTGGTGGCGTGGCAAAGGCGAGGGTGACCAAAGGCGAGGCACTGGTTCCCCCAGCAGCGGATTTCCACCGAGCGTCCCCTCCCTCCCACCAACGCAACACGCACTCACACACATTCACACACTCGCTCCATTTATGTCCTTTCTCCTATGAGTACTGCTGTCGAGTCGAAGTGGGAAGTCGAAGGAAGCCTTTAAGCCAGGGGACAAAAAGAAAGCAAGAAAGAAAGGGGGGAGGGGATCAGATGGATTCCTTGGGGAAATGAGACTCGGATATGTAAGCACTGACCTATGTCACTTGCTGTTCTTCCCTCCTTTCTATTTTG